AAAAAAAACATAAATAACATTTTTTTTTTTTTAAAACTACAAAATTGCAATTTGCTCAAGAAATATTGAGTGTAAGACGTTAAATCGATCACCCTGTACATCCTAAAATGGCGTTACGCCGTTTGGTTGCTACGAAAAATGATTGATTCCGTAACCCAAAAAAACATGTTATTGTAAAACTTATGTGCACATTACGCCGTTGAATATAAAGTGTTAGGTGAACGCCATATATACAGTTAGAAAAAAATATTAAGATACAGACGATTTTGGCTCGGTGGTAAATATACAAAAGAAAAACGGCTCATCGCAAAAGTGAATGCCTTACCTACGTTAGATTGATTCAAAATACAGTAATGCTAAATACCATTACTTAGGCATCAAACGTACTGTTGCTTTAGTATAGTGTTCTAAATTCTTGGTGTTTAATTATAATAACTACCTACTTCAATAAAATGAATTTGAATGGTATAATTTATATTGTAGCCACCATATTATTAATAATGATGTCGGGTGTATCCGCTCCGGAAGGTATAAAAAACTTTTTTAGTATATCATTTTTTATAACTTTTTTTTTTATAGTATCTTCGTCCAACCTAATTATATCAAATATTTCGAATACTGTAGTCGTTTTTTTCGACTTTTCTATGAATTTTTACTTCTATTTTACCCTTTTTTATACCTTATTCCGTTTTGTTTTCTAAGCGTTTTTATGGAGATCCCAATTATTTGAAACTATGTACACATTATATACAATTTCTTCAGCTGTCGGATGTAAATAATTTAGAATGATTCTCAATTTTCAGGCGATACGAAAAAAAAAACAACTTTTTAGCTAATAAACTCAATTTTAATGATATTGATGTAAAAAATCAATATTTTTTCAGAAAGCTGATATTATTTTACATAAAAATCTGATTTGTAATAAATATTTTTGAATGGCTGAAGATAGTAAATTATAAAAATAAAGTGTCAAGAAAAAAACTAAAAATAATTTAACGACCAAGGCCAAAATAATCCAAACAAATTAAAGAACATTATTTTTTCAAATACATAAGTAGCCTAAATTCACATTGTGTATATGCCTACCATATTTTGGTCATACATTTGTTTCTAGAAAAATGTCAATTTTTGATTCATTATAACCTTCGGATTTATTTCTCATGAAAATGTACATCAATTAGATGACGTTCGAAAACAAACAAAAATTAACAATTTTCTGCATTTTTTTTTTTTTGTAATAAAATTGACGTTTTTTACTAGCTTAATATTTATTTTTTAATGTAGAAAAATATCTACCTAATAATCCATTTAAAATGAATACATATTAAAACAACTGTGTACTAAGCCCTAGAACAATGAGCCATATGATGCATTGGGATAAATAAAATATTTAAGTAATTTTTTCGAAATTTTAGCTGATCCTAGACGTATGCAACCTAATGGCCGTAAGTTTTTAAAACTGCTATAACTTATATAAATTACAAAAGTGTAATTGAATATACATTTAAATTAATCGTTATTCGAATGACTGTAAAAAGTCGGATGATAATAACAGTATTTGTCCTTTGCAAAGATACTAGCAATTTTAAACTTATTTTCAAAAAAGCTGAAAATGTGTATAAAATGTTACACATTTTAATAATAAAAATAAGTTTATCATGTCCATAAGTATATTATTATATAAATTTGTATGTCTAGTGAAGAAACTATAATTAGTGGCCAACACTAATTTAAACGCTTTAGATAAGCAACTAAAAACTATTACACCTGTAAGGATTCTAGAAAATTAAAAATTAAATTGGAAAAACAAGTATCTGAATTATTTTGTTGGTGTTTCAGCACGACCAGGCGATTTACCACCGCAAAGACCAGGACAAGACGATCTACCGGGCGGTAAGTTTTTGAGATTTTAATAAAACTTATACAGCTTTATTCAAATAAAATAAATAAAATTAAGGGCTTAAATTGTTTTAAAAATGTATATAAAACCCTGGTGCATAATGATAACATAGGTTTGCATTGTTAAACACTGTGTTAAAAAAAACACTGCAATTTCAGTAAATTGAATTTTTTAGGACAATGAAAAGTCATTGTTAGTAATTACTAGTGCTTTATAATAGTTAATTAACTGTAGGTTTTGAATATACTATTTAATAATTTTTACTTTTAAAATTAATTTTAATACCTTATATTTGATTTTAACCACATTGATTTGCATTATCATATATCAGTGTATGTACCACCACCACCACCACTTCCAATACAACCACCACCACCACCGGCGAGTAAGTTTTTGAGACTTAAAAAATACTTATATAGGTTAAATAAAACTTATGTAGGTTATAAAAATGTAACTCATTATGCAATTTTATCTTTCGTTTTCAAAATCACTGTAAGTTGAAGGATTATATAAGTTTTTGTGATTTGCAAAGATACTATAGTAGTTTTAAAATTATTTTCAATAAAGCCGAAAATTGTTAAATTATTATATTAAGTTGTTTTCTACAAACGAATGTTTTATACATGTGCGATATTTTAAATTAAAATTTATTCCGATATTAAAAAAATGGAGTAAATCCTAAGATTTAACTTTAAATAGAAACCACCTTGTACTTAATACATTTATAAAGAAGCCAATCTTAATTTGAATTAAAATCCATGTGTTTGCTTCTTATAAATAAACGATTTTTTTCCATAATATTTTAATATTTTTTTTTTTTTAGATCCATGAAGTATCCAACATCTGTTTTGCATTCTGAAAACATATATGCTTACTGATATGTGTAAATTGTAAAATGTTCATCTTTGTTTATCATAATTGTGTTTCAGACTTCCGATTTTTCTAATAACAATGTATTCCAAATACCATATTTTGTTGCCAATCATATTAAATATTATATCTATTACATATACCTGTCTACCTGTAAAAATAATATTCACCCGTTTAAGTAAATTTGTATTTTATTAATAAAGAGATTTTTCTAATGAAGAGAGTGCTTATCACCTTTTTCCTCGTCCCAGAATGTATTGCATTTAAACAGTTGTTCCATTTTACAACTCACGTTTAAAAATGTATTTTTATTTTTATTTTGTTAACATAACAGAATATGTTTCAAAAAACAATTTGTTTTTGGTAGACAACAAATTATATGGGTACCAACTAAACTGCGATATCCATGATTCGAGCCTCATTCTAAAAATAAATATAATTACTTATATTTGTGTATACTTGGATGTATATTGTAAAATGTTCATCTTTGCTTATCATAATTGTTTTTCGACCTTCAGATTATTCTAATAACAGTCCATTCCGAATAACACATTTTGTTCAAATAAAGGGTAATTTTTTTTATCGTGGGCCAGTCAATATCTCACTAAGTTTAATTAATAATTGAATTTTTTTTTTTTTTTGCTATATAATGTGATCTCAATTTCTCCCAATCTTTTTTTTTGTTTTCACCCCCTTTACAAACTAGGTTTTTTGATAGCAACTTTGGAGGCCTCTAGTCAAGGTGGATTTTGTTTGGTTACATTAAACAAGTTATGTGTAGTAATTCGCGTAACTTAAGAACTCAAAGTAAATTTAAAATAGACTTTAAAGAAACAAAATGAAAAAAACAAGTGCCATCATTATTCTTTCCCTTAAAGATAATATACTGCAACATGTAACGTTTTCAATCCTTGGCTAAAAACAAAACTACAAACTAGGTTTTTTGATAGCAACTTTGGAGGCCTCTAGTCAAGGTGGATTTTGTTTGGTTACTTTAAACAAGTTATGTGTAGTAATTCGCGTAACTTAAGAACTCAAAGTAAATTTAAAATAGACTTTAAAGAAACAAAATGAAAGAAACAAGTGCCATCATTATTCTTTCCTTAAAGATAATATACTGCAACATGTAACGTTTTCAATCCTTGGCTAAAAACAAAACTAAAATGTCTTATCAACCAAAATACAAAAATTACAATTCTTTTGACTCTTAACAGCTTCTTTTGAACTTCCAAGGAACAGATGCCTCTCTGTACAAGCTAAGTTTTAGTACACAAAAACAATAATATCGTGCACGTGTATTGTTCAGGCAATAACGTGTTTTCATATTTAGTAATAAGAAATAATATAAATTTTGTAATAATTCGGTTGTATATTATGTATGACACAATAGGCCTTATATATTATATTGAATGTTGATTTAAGAACTGAAGTGTTGTTATTATCATAGGGTATTTGTAAAATTTTAGAAAAACTAAACTTCACCTACAGCCATGATTACTCCCCCCCCCCTATCTATACAGGGTGATTCTTTTAACGCCTTACACTAGTTTACTCAAAAACTGCTCAGATTTTTCAAAAAAAAAAAAAATGTTTAACTATTTGTTTGTGTGTTTAAAATACTAACTTATTTTATAAGACTTATTTTTGTGTATCTCCCCCCCTTCCTCGAAAACTAGACACCAACTTTTGATTTTCAAATGGCAACCGCTACTTTTTTTTAAATATACATAATCAAAATTGTCTAAATTTAAATGTTTTTACGTTAAATTTTGAAAATATTGATTTGCTAATAAGTTGTTGACAATTTCAAAAACGCAGCTAATAAGAGGCGCTTTTTGTACTTATTGATATTTTACACAGTTGACGCTTAACCCATTTTTTTTATTCGTCATTAGATTATTGTCGGTAGTTTGACAACAAGTAATAACAAAATAATAATAATAACAAGAACCAAACAAAATATAATAATAATCATAGATAAAGAATAAATGTATTATTAAATACCACTTGAGAGATATTTTAACTTCAAAAATAAGAAGGGACAATTAAATTATAACTTGAATAATATGTTTTGTAAAGTTATAAGAAGATTGTATGAAAAATGGATAGTGTATAGTACTAAATAGCTAAATTTAATAAATACTTTCCTCGTGCTAAATACACCAGTATGTCTCTTATTTGACAAAAAAATACAGTATTACAAGTAAAACAAATAAACTTGCGTATCATGTAACGGAAAAGACAGTTTATTGATTGATTTTAAATACTACAAGTTAAGTTTATATTCATTGCACATAATATATCGGATTGGTCTATGGCATTTTTGAGGTGGGCATATTATATGAGTTGAATTAACAGCTCTGGAACAAAAAAATATAATTCGTTAGTTAATAATGTATCAATTAAACAATACAAGTGAAATAATTTTAAATATCTAAACGATCCGTATTAAATATTATATAAAATAATAGATTCAACATTGATGGACTTCTACAGAGATTTAAACACAATAAAATTTTGTTATTTTAAATATAACTGTGCTCAACAAAGATCAAACGTGATAGTTTAAGTAAGAAAAAAGGCACATATATATAATATTATAGAATGATATTTAATTACTAAATATAGTAAGTAGATACAAAAAGGCAATTTTACAGGAGAGCGGTTTTACACCTCATTTTAGTCAGATTTGTACCACGTTTTCAAATAATCTACCAGTTGATCAATACACTGTATTTTTTTTTAGCATTTATAATACAACTCAAGAGAATATTTAAATTTAACTACTAAAAAAAAAAAAAAATTTTAACTGTTTAAAAAGGATTATTTTTTTTTTTAATACGAAGAAAAACTACCAATTCACATATAGGTATTTTAAAGGTACAATAAGTGTTAGCTTTAAGAATTTATTTTTTAAATTTAAAAAAAAAATAGTTTTGAAGTTGTGACGATTTTAAAATGAAAAAACCGTGTAAATTAAAAGGGAAAAATATGGCTCTAAAGGAACCACTCTGAGTTGTCTGAGAAGGTTGATATTTTAAACTTAGGAAATTTTAAGCTTAGAAATTGAATAGAATTTAAAAATACTAAAATTATAAGCTAAAGTGTACTCAAGTATTAAAACAAGCTGGTGATTTTGGCTATAAGTAATTTTAAAAAGGAATATTATCGTTAATAATTTAATTGGTATATATCTAAATAAAGGTGATATAACATTAAAAAATCGGCTTAATTTTGCACTTACCATATTGTGTTGAGAAACTTGGGGTTGGGCCTTGTTGACGATTTTGGCTGATTTGGCGGATTGCACTTGTCCGACCACAACGATGTTCATGGATACCTTTTCTGCGCCCATTTTTGATTTTTGGTTCTTGGAGAACTTAAAGAATAAATATACTAGAAATCAAAACAAAAATTTATATAGCAGTTTAATTTTCAAATCCAATACACGTTGAAAAAAAAATATTGTAATATTATGAAAAAATTGTTTTCAAACTCACCAGCAATAGCGTTATAGAGCAAAACAATTGTATTATGCTTGAACTAAGACTCTACACACTATATTTATATGCTTTAGATATCGCGCGAGTGAAGTGGCGTGATGTGTCTGGCCATAATGGCCATATCCAATGATCACATTCTGATAAAATGGTCTCATCTGTATTTGAAAAAAAATTGTACAAATTTATCTCACAGAAAACTGTTACCTTAACAATAACAAAAGACTATACATTCACGCATTATGTATATTTACTACAGATTAATTCGACTTTCTAAAATTTAACACATTATTCAAAAGTTTCGAGGAATCTATAAATTTATATAATTTACTTTCTTATTTAATTTATGAATATAATAATATTTTTGTTATTATTTACTATTTACAATAGTCCCCTAGACAACTTTTTATGTAATTCTTTAATTTTTTCGGTTTTATATTTTTCAAAAAATAGTGTGATTTGTTATAGTTTTTATATTTGATTAAAAGTAAAAAACTTATATTTAGGGTCGGCTAGTAGTAAATCAGAATGGTCACGTTCCCCGAATAAATTAAAAACCGTAACGTAGTACCTTATATTAGTTATTACATTGTATGAAAAAATATTGGGAAAAAGATAGCACATGCCGTTTTTTTTTTTTGTTATGTAATTATAATATTAAACACTAATTTTACAAGTCGGCGAAAGGGGTTTCCATGACGAATAAAAACTTAGGTAAACGCATTAATACATTTTCTAGGATGTCGATGAAGGTAAATTTACAACGAGCTTGGAAACCAAAATTGGGAATTTTGATTTGTATGTGTTCTAAAACCCGCGACAGTTTATCTCCATGCTGCGGTGTACCTACTCCTTTGGCAACCACTCGTTATCACACAAACACACACACTATCACAAATCTGTCTAGAAAATGTTAGCGTTGTTCTGTAGTTGTCGTTAATAAACCTACATAAAATACAAATTTTGTTTTTGTTAATAATTGGAACTTTTATTTTGTAATCTCTCCTTTCTGTGAATTATAACTAGCTGAATTCGATTTAGCGCCACAGAAACAATTTGTTTTCATTATTGTTGCTACGGGACCGATTCGTGAGAATTTCTAGATTTTAATCATAATAACTTAGTTGAAGTTTATGATAAATACTTAACGTATTGTGTCGTGTTTCGTTAGTAAGTTACAATTGAGTTTTTTTTGTAATTTGTTTATTATACATTTTAAGTAGCAGCCCTTTACGACAGCGGTTTACGGTTCTACGTTGTGTGAGTACCTACCGTTTTGTATTTCTAATTTATTTACACTATTGCCGTGTTTTCTGTCTTTCATCGACTTAGATTACTGCTTGTGAATAAATAGAATCATAATCTATAGGTGTTTGCTTAATACTTATTATTTACTCTAAATTCGGTTGAATGACACAAGATCAACGCCACTTTAAATTAATCTATTCGGTCAAATGGCCTATCGTTTAGCTTTAAACTTTATCGTTTTCTTACCTACAAGACATACTTAAAGTTTTGTGTTATTCATCTAATTTAAGTAAACTAAAATTTAGTTTTAAATGTTTAAAAAAAAACAAAATATACCATTAAACATTTTGTTGGTTTTTGTATTTCAAATAATGTAAACTAAATTATTCTTTATTTATTTTTATTGTATTCAAGCTTCGGCAACTCAGGCCTAATAGGTAAAATAGGACGACTTATTAATCCTCTATGCATATATGGCACAGAAATAAAGTTAAATCATAATTATAGTGTTTTGAAGCTAAGTGAGATGTGCTTGTACACATTCTACTTTAATATATACAAGTGATTATTTTATCGTGGACCACTCAGAAAATTTTTGCCATTACTGGTCATTCAAACAGTGAAAAGTTTGAATCAGTTTGAATGACCAGTAATTGCAAAAATAATCTGAATACACATTTTTCCAAATGTCAGGTGATACAAGCACATGGGTAGTACTACATTATTGTTGCTAAGCGTCCGATTTTAATCATAAGAACTTGGTCGAATTCTATGATAAATACCTAACGTATTGCGTTTTTGAGTTACAATTGAGTTTTGTCTTGCCTGTAATTTATTTATCATACATTTTATGTAGCACCCCTGGACAGTGTATTACGGTTCTACGTTGTGTGAGTACCTACCGTTATGTATTTCTAATTTATTTACATTATTGTTGTGTTTTGTCTTTCATTAACTTACAATACTGCTTGTGAATAATTAAAATCTTAATCTATAGAAGTTTGTTTACTCATATTTTTACTTTGTTTACTTATTATTTACTCGGAGTTAAGTCGAGTAATACGAGATCAACGCCACTTAAATTTAATGTAGTCGACGAAATTGGCTATCGTCTAGCTTTAGTCTTTATCGTACTACCTACTTACCTACAAGTCATACTTGTAGTTTAGTGTTATTCGTCTAATTTAAGTAAATTAATATTTAGTTTTAAATATTAAAAAAAAAACAAAATATACCACTCAAAACTTTGTTGGTTTTTTACTGTCAAAATCATGTTAACTAAATTATTCTTTATTATATCATTAGTAGTACTAAATTTGTTATTATAAAAAATAGTAAAATGTTGTAATTAATTTGTCCTATAAATGTCAATTATAGAGTTTGAAAGCGGTATAAAATGTTGAAAATTAAACTTGAAAATGATGAAACAGAACAACACTCCTTTGAAGTCATTGCACCCAAACCGTTAGATGTGCAGTTCACGAAAAATGAAATTTCTACAACAGAGGAGTATTTGGTAAAGAATGAAGTCGACAATACTTATGAGTAAGTCAATTTTATGACCTTTTTTTTACTAGATAAAACAATTATGCTTTTGTAGCTATGACTTTCTCCGTAATTAAAAAAAAAATTTAATTAATGATGTCCTAATTAATTTTCAAAATAGTAATAATAATATTGTTTAAACAATTATTTTTGACGTTATAAGAAGTAAAGAGAATTATGAACTTTTCTTGAGTAACTTATTCCACTTTAAGCTATTATAAATCATAAGGGCTTATATTATATTAAACATTAGAGTTTATTTGAAACTTATTATCGATCTGTTAAATTTTTCAATAAAATATATACTCTTTTGAAATAACTGTTTGGTAAGTGATCATGTGCATCTAAATAACTTTTTAATACCAAAAAGAAGCCAATCGTTTATTTAGTTATTTAAGTATAAAATCTCATGTATCCTAAAAGATAGGTGCTTCGTACACCGGAGTCGAGTTGTGTCTAGTAACACGGGATCAACGCCACATTAAATTAACCTAGTTGGCAAAATAGTCTATCGTCTAGCTTTAATCTTTATCGTTTAGACTTCTTACCTACAAGTCAATAGTCATACTTGTAGTTTTGTGTTATTCATCTAATTTAAGTAAATTAAAATTTAGTTTTAAATGTTAAAAAAAAAAACAAAATATACCACTGAAAATTTGGTCGGTTTTTATTGTTCAAATCATGTAAACTAAATTATTCTTTTTTTTTTTTTATTCAAGCTTCGGCAACTTAGGCCATTAGCTGTCTTCTTTATTATATCATTATTATTACAAATATTTGGTACTAAATAAAAAGTAGTTAAAATTATGTAGTTAAGTCGTGCCATTAATCCTTTATGCATGTATGGCACCGATATACAACTAATGTTAAATGTCCATTATAGAGTTTTAAAGCAGTACAATATGTTGAAAATTAAACATGAAAACGATGAAACAGAAGAACACTCCTTTGAAGTCATTGCACCCAAACCGTTAGATGTGCAGTTCACGAAAAATGAAATTTCTACAACAGAGGAGTATTTGGTAAAGAATGAAGTCGACAATACTTATGAGTAAGTCAATTTTATTACCATTTTTTTACTAGATAAAACAATTATGCTTTTGTAGCTATGACTTCCTCCGTAATTAAAAAAAAAATTTAATTAATGATGTCCTAATTAATTTTCAAAATAGTAATAATATAATATTGTTGAAACAATTATTTTTGACGTTATAAGAAGTAAAGAGAAATATGAACTTCTCTTGAGTAACTTATTCCACTTTAAGCTATTAGAAATCATAAGGGTTTATATTACATTAAACATTAGAGTTTATTTGAAACTTATTATCGATCTGTTAAATTTTTCAATAAAATATATACTCTTTTGAAATAACTGTTTGGTAAGTGATCATGTGCATCTAAATAACTTTTTAATACCAAAAAGAAGCCAATCGTTTATTTAGTTGTTTAAGTATAAAATCTCATGTATCCTAAAAGATAGGTGCTTTGTACACCGGAGTCGAGTTGTGTCTAGTAACACGGGATCAACGCCACATTAAATTAACCTAGTTGGCAAAATAGTCTATCGTCTAGCTTTAATCTTTATCGTTTAGACTTCTTACCTACAAGTCAATAGTCATACTTGTAGTTTTGTGTTATTCATCTAATTTAAGTAAATTAAAATTTAGTTTTAAATGTTAAAAAAAAAAAACAAAATATACCACTGAAAATTTGGTCGGTTTTTATTTTTCAAACAATGTAAACTAAATTAATCTTTTTTTTTATTATTATTCAAGCTTCGGCAACTTAGGTCATTAGCTGTCTTCTTTATTATATCATTATTATTACAAATATTTGGTACTAAATAAAAAGTAGTTAAAATTATGTAGTTAAGTCGTGGTATTAATCCTTTATGCATATATGGCACCGATATACAACTAATGTTAAATGTCTATTATAGAGTTTTAAAGCGGTACAATATGTTGAAAATTAAACATGAAAACGATGAAACAGAAGAACACTCCTTTGAAGTCATTGCACCCAAACCGTTAGATGTGCAGTTCACGAAAAATGAAATTTCTACAACAGAGGAGTATTTGGTAAAGAATGAAGTCGACAATACTAATGAGTAAGGCGATTTTTATTGCAATTTTTTTTTTATGCTAAATAAAACAATTAAGTTTTTTTAATGATGTCGTCCTCCCTATTATCAATGCTAATTTACTTATAGTTTTCGACGAGATGAATATTTAATTATTCTATGATTCCGTTGTACTTTCCTACTTCTTCAACTCCTCTTAATTTAATTTATTTTTTCTTAAAAAATAACATTTACAGTATTCCTACCGCTAGTAGTAGTATATTTGAGAATATAAAAAATTAGTTTTATAAAATAACATAAGTAAAAATATTTTCAAACGGATAAATTACAACACTATTATGTGTCGTATGGCAAATCGTTGAAACTATTTCTTAAAAATGATGCTTGTTTGGTGCGTTAACACGTGTTATATTAGCTGTATTAATATTTGCTATGAATAATTGATCTTAAATTCATTTATTTTGTTGCAGTGTGCATTATCCGCGTAACGAGATGGACACAAACTCTACGGATTACTACAATACTCGAAACAAAGATGGCCTATTCAATTGCGATATTTGTTTGAAAAGTTTTTCGTTCAAATCAAACCTGAGAACACATTGGCGCGTTCATACGGACGAAAAGCCTTTTGAATGCAATGTCTGTAATAAAACTTTTTGTCAAAAATCTAACCTGAAAACTCACCAAAGAACGCATACCGGCGAAACGCCCTTTGAATGCGATGTGTGTAAAAAAACACTCAGTCGACGGTCTTCTCTGGACAGCCACAAAAGGACACATACCGGCGAGAAACCGTTTAAATGCGATGTCTGTGCGAAATGTTTCAATACACAATCTTACCTGAAAACTCACAAAAGGATACACATGGGCAAGAAACCTTTTAAGTGCAACGTCTGTGAAAAAACATTCAGTCAACGATGTCATCTCAAGACACATGCACGTATACATACCGGCGAGAAACCCTTTAAATGCCATGTCTGTGCAAAATGTTTTAATACACAATCTTACCTGGAAACTCACAAAAGGATACACATGGGCAAGAAACCCTTTAAGTGCAACGTCTGTGAAAAAACATTCAGTCAACAATGTCATCTCAGAACACATGAACGCATACATATCGGTGGGGTACGGCATAAATGCTCAGTCTGTGATAAATCCTATGGTCGCCGAGATAATCTGAAAAGACATCAAGCAAAAGCACACCACTAAAAAAGCCTTTTTTTGTTTATAGTTTTTTAATGTTTACCATCGTTTAACTGATCATTTGACTTTGACGTTTTTTTTATTTGACTTATAACTCCTCTTTTCACAGACCATATAAAATGTTTAGTTTTTTAATTTTTTATAATATAATTTTTTTAGTTCCATAATTTACACATGAAAAATAGTAGATAATATTGTTACTATTGGTATTTAGTGTTCAAATAATATGATAATGTATTTTATAATAATTACTGTTGTGGTTTTTTAAAGATAAATTATTTATAATACACCACTAATATGTGTAAGTTTGTATTTTAAAATTGATTTATACTTTAAAATATTTATTTCTATCCGACTAATCATGTTTATGGAAACTATTTTTTATCATTTGATTATTTTTGTTTATTTTTTTTTTTTCATCTGTATGAATATATTTTTTTATTAATTTCGCTACTTTTATATTTTAATCATTTGTTTGATGCATTAATTACACGTTTTAACAATAGGTAGGTTATTATATTGTTTCTATTATTTATTAAAATATGTTTATAGTGTACAGTATACTAACTGTTGATTTTTTTGTTACATGTTTCTATTTTAAATTAAAATTTGTTTCGATATGTATTTTAACTTAATCGACCAATCGTGTGTTTAAGTGAATTATTTTATAATTAATAAATTTAATTTTTTTTTTCCAGGCAAACATTTGTATTTTCTGTTTATGTTGCTACTTTTTTGTTACATTAAAAATTCGTATTTGAGGTAGATGGTGTTTTTAGTTTGTAGTGTGCAAGATGTCATAAAATTGAAAAGAAGCGTTTAAGGAATAAATATGACACATTTTAAAATACTATTGTAATAAAAATAGGTTTCGGATCTTTTTCTAAAAATCGTCCCATGCATATTTAAACACAATTTATAAAATACCACCAGAAGCATTGTTTGTAATTTTGCCAAATGCTCAATATGAAGTTATTTCATAATATATAATTGTCGATGTAGACTTTTTTAATTTTAACGAGGTTCAATGTAGGTGTTAATGTTTAAGTATGAATATTCGTAAAAATAATACCATTAAAAATTCAGTGGTGGTGTAATCAGGTAAAAGAAACTATGTCTCAGTAAGAACAGTTCATAAATGGATTTAACAGTTATTACCAATTTCTTAGGTGAGTTTCTTTTTAGTTTTCGCAAAATAAAAACTATATTTACAATTGGCTAAAAATATCTTGACCAAACTGAAAGATTGAAAATTTGTAAACTGTTGGGAAATTATGTCGACGATGGTCGGAGAAAAATGTGTAGTCAAAATTTTGAATACCTAGATTAAAAAAAAACGGTCCAATTTTTTTTTTCGATCCAGTGATTTTGCTCATGAGACGCAGCCTTTTGAATTTTCAACGATTGTCTCCTCGGACTGTTTTCGAAAATTATATTTTGAAAATTATTTACTTCCTCACGAACTCCGTTGAAAGTATAAATTACTATCAGTCGAAGAATTACGATAATATGTACACCGTTAGTATTACTAATAAGTTACCTGATAGAATGCAAATATTCCTAGGCAATTTGTCAGAAGTTGAAAAAGCACTAAACACATTCACTGACAAGTCTTGCGAGGTTCAGTCAGATACGCATACAAACAACGAGGTTCCCCAAAATTCTCAAAAGGACATAGAGGGGCAACTCGATATAAAAATAAACTATTTTATAGAAACTGTGTTTCCAAATTTGGGTTTAAATACAACCCAATTAGAAGCACTATCGTTAGAGTGAGGTCAGAAAATTCAGATTAATACAATATCTATAATTTTAATAAATCTCAGTGTAATCTTATTATTTTATTGAACACTATTATATTTGCACATTCAAATTTAACATGCACTAATTTTTGTTTTATTTTCAAAGCTTTGCACCTACATTACTCATAAGACCTCGAATTATGTTCAAAATAAACTGCTAAGAAATTTAATGTTTTCTTGTAACCCACTTTTAAGACACGATTTGATCTTACTTATATTATATTGTGTAATGTGCGTAGCACTTTATAAAAATATCTTAAATTTGTTTTAAATATATGTATTTTTGAAGCTAAAAATAAATGGCTTTCTGAAATTAGACCTTGTCTCTGATTTTTTATGTTACTTTCTATTTATTGTTAAATGAAAAACAAAGTAAGAATATTTTGAGTATATTATAAGTGTATGTTCATAAAAATATTTCAAGTTGGACCTAAGAAGCAGAAATTTGTGTTGTACAATAACAACAAAATGTACTACTACTTCGTTAGCAAAGTTAAAAAGATTCAGATGCAAAAACTGGCGGAACACGAAGCTATGTTAGTTATTTAATTAATTACTCTATTAATGAGTCTAAAATCGCAAAAAACGATAAAATGTGGTATGCTGAGTTTTAGTTTAAAGAACTAAGAAAGTAGTCGATTTATAATATGTCTTTGAGGTCGGCGAGTTCAAATATTACCTCAGATGTACAATAAATTTCCTAAGTATTATTATACAATATACAAATTAAAACATGTATACCTACATATTTTAAATAAAGGTTAGGTTAGGTTCAATCATACACATTCAAAGTTAGATCTGTATTATACAGGCATACAGGGTGCGATACATTTTGGGTAAAACACTAATTTTCTCGGAAAAAAAAAAAAAAATTCCTAAAATTTCCTGAAAATTTGTAGTCCAACCCTTATACAAAAAAAAAGGGTAGGACGTCACTTTTTCAAATGGCAACATATGTTTTAAATTCCATATATAATATAGACAACAAATTTTTAAAAATGTTGTTGTTTGAATTTTGAATTTTTATCCATTCGTTCGCTTGTTATGACTGTAAATATTTGAATTTTTATCTATATTTCTCAATATTTTCAATCGGTTCATCAAAGACAAGTAGTTTTTGTTACACCAGTCATCATGTAAAATAATAATTTCGTCGGTAAAAATCCGATTTTCGGAGAAAACTAGTGTCTTATCCAAAATGAATCACGCTGTACTGTCAGCTCAACATACGTTATAATTTTATCGAATTACGACTTCGTAAAATATTGTACATGCATATAAAATAACTGACTTGTAAGAGCATGTAGTGTGCTGAAACATTTTAATTGAATTAATAAAAAAAAAACAATATTTCTACGAGATATAAATCCTAATTCATCTCGATAATTATTATACAAAGATTTGGCGTTAGAAGTTACATAACCGAAATGGAGTTCTAATGTTGAGTGCCTAAATACAATAGTGTAGAATTATATACAAAATATATATTTAGTGAGCAACGAGTAATCCTCATCGTTGTACTTAATAATAATAGTACAACTGTACACTATAGTTTGAACACATTGCGAAAAATGTCCCACCGGAGTTGGCAATTTTATCTGTTTGCCTCCAAAAAGGCGCGACAGTTTACCTCCACGCTGCGGTGTACCACCACCTGTGGCAATCACTCGTTATCACACACACACACACACTATCACAAATCTGTTTGGACAATTTTAGCGTTTCCCTCCAGTTTGCGTTAAAAACCTACATATTAAATACAATAAGTCATGTTGTTTTTAATAATTGAGATTTATTTTTGTACACTCTGAATTTCTGTGAATTATTATACCGGTTCGATTAGATTCAGGGCCGTAGAAACAATTTGTGTACATTATCGTTGCTACGCGTCCGATTCGTGAAATTCCATAGATATGAATTATAATAACTTCTCTCGATTTCTGTGATAAATATCTAACGTATTGCGCCGTGTTTTGTTATTGAGTTACAATATTAAGTTTTGTCTTGCCTGTAATCCGTTTATTATACATTTAAAAGTAGCAGCCCGAACAGTGGTTTACGATTGTACGTTGTGCGAGTAGGTACTTACTGTTTTGTACTTCTAATTTATTTAATAAAGTAACGCCCCGCTGGGAGCAATGAGTACAGATGTAATACAGTAATAACATTAAACAACTTTAACGTTAACACAATAAACATTTAACAACCTTATTAACTAACACATATATCAATCACATTAAAAGTTCCGGGCTATCAACATATCCATTTAAAGTTTTAAAAATAAATAGAGTATCCATATAAGACCGTCTATTTTTTAACGAGACAAGGTTAATTTATATTCATTGTTGCCGTGTTATCTGTCTTTCGTTGACTAGAATACTGATTGTGAATAAATAGAATTAGGTTGAATGACACGAGATCAAGGCCACTTGAATTAATCTACTCAGTCAAATGGGTTATTGTTTAGCTTTAACGTTTATCGTCTTAGCTTTTTACCTACACAATTCATACTTAAGTTTTGTGGTATTCATCTAATTAACATTAATTTTTTTATGTTTAGAAAAGACAAAATATACCATTTATAACTTTATTGATTTTTATTTTTCAAATAATGTAATTTGTTTTAGGCATACATACTATATTAACCATTGTGACCATTAAAGGACCATGTAAAACAATTTCACATGATTTTTTTCTCGTAAAGCATTTGAGATACAGTTTTATTAAAATTAGGCACTTTGTTGTGGTTGATAGTAAAATATTTTTTTTCCTCGTCTTTTTAATTAAAAAATTAATTGTATTTTGTATCTTATTGGTTTTAGGTTAGCTAATTTTACAATTAGATAACAATCAAACACAGACAAGGTACATCTATAATCTATACTGTAATACAAGCTAAACAATTATGGAAGTTATTATGCAAGAACACTTTGAAAAAATGTTTCAATTCTATAAGTAAGTCATTAATTGATTAGTATTTTACAAGTCGTATTTATTACGGATTTATGTTTGTATTTAAATTGTGCGCTTTTGAAATAATATACCTAGCTGAGTCGTTGGGTGATCATTTAATCGTGAACTACTCAATATTTCTTAGTGTTAAATAAGAAATTAAATTTTTTATTTTCATATTGTTTTTTTTAGGGATGGGCCGATACCACTTTTTACCGATACTTAATATTCGGATATATGTTGCCGATATAAAACCTATACCCTATATGTTAAAAAAATAAAAATTGTTTGCAAAAACCATGATTTGATTATAAAACAAAACCTATACCATTATATCACAAACCTATACCCGATAAAACCAATATTACACATTACCTACCATTGATTATTTTTTTGGTATCGTTCCAAATATCAGTTTCCCGAAAAAAAAAAAACGATACCGATAAAACCGATACCACAAATATCGTCTGATATCTAGTATCGGCCCACACCTAGTTTTTATACAATATGATCTCAATTTTTCACAATTTTTTTTGTTTGTACCCCCCACCTAACTTAGTTTTTTTTATTGCTTCTTTTGAAACTTGAAAAGCTTTTCATTAATTTCATTAAATTTTTAAATTAAGATTATTGTAACTAAGATTTTGACTGGTTAATAACCAGTTTTGAATCACTACTTTTAAAGTTATAAGAGTAAGTTAGGGCAGGTGGGGAAGAGCGATTGAAAATACTACACTCCACCTTTCCTGCTGCCTAAACTTAAAACTCCGATAACTTAAAAAAATAGTTACTAAAACTGGTTATCGACCGGTCAAAAACTTTAGTACATAGTTCCCAATTTAAAAAGTTAATGAAATGTATGCGATAAGATTTAAGTTTCAAAATATGCTATCAAAAACAGTAAGTTGGGAGGGGGGTGAAAACAAATGGTGTTAATTGAATTTTAAAATCTATAATTCAAATCTTTCATTTAAAAATGATGTGTCCTTTTTTTTGCATAATCCAAATATCAAAAGTCTAAACTTTTAATTGGATGGTGTTATGCAGGAAGCACCCAACCCGCAAACCATACTACACTTAGTGTACTAACTGTAGTATAGGTATACTGCACTAGTTAAACTAAAATCTCGATTTTTTTTTGTGGGTTGGTTGCTTTCGGCATAAGGCCATTCAGTTTAGTTATTTCTAGAACTTTGTCTTAACTGATTTTTTTTTTTTTGTTTATACTATGAAAAAACGAGAACAATAAAGGTTTTACAAACATTATCATCAATATTTATTTAATTCTTGTAATTATCAATAAAATATTTTTATTATAAGAAACAGTATTTTAAGACAATTCTCTAAAAAAACAAAGTTTTTATTGCATATTTTAATATTGCTTTTCAGAAGTCGTTCAGAATAAAATATGAATTTTATAGTCATTTATAACAACTAATGAAAATAAATACATTAATATGGATACATTTTTTCTAGGGACAAAGAATTTTGTGATGTAACCTTGGTTACTGATGCAGGCCTAAAAATAGAAGCTCACAGAAATATATTGGCTTCTGCGATTCATGTATTTTACACGATGTTCAGCGGTCATTTTAAGGAAAGAAACGAAAATGAGATTCTTATAAAAGATATAGATTCTGAAATTTTAGAATTGGTGGTGAAATTTGCATATACTTGTAAACTGGATATTGAAGAAAATAATTGTGAAGTAGGAAATATGCAATAGGATATACTATTTATAAAACATTACACTATTTTTATTTACTTGTTATTATATTTTGTAGAAACTATTGATGGCTGCTAATATGTATGGTCTAAATCATATAAAAGAATTATGTTTTAAACATATTAAAGAAAACATAAATCCTACAAATTGTGTGAGTTTTATGAAAACTTCCAAATTAATATCACATGAAAAGATTTACAATTTTTGTTGGTCATATTTTTTAAACAATTGCACGTGAGTAATCAGGTGCTTCATATGATCGCATTATTTATTTAAATAATCAAATAATAGAACAAATATTTTTTTAGTACAATTTTGAATTCTGATCAAGCATTAGAAACACTTTATGAATATGAGTTTGATGATGTTGTCGAGTTTATTACACGTGATGATTTAGTAATTGATTCTGAGGAAAAGGTATAATTATTGTAACATTAAAAGAAAGAAAAAAATTACTTATTTTAATGTTGTTGTTTCTATTACAATTATTTAATTCATTTTTGCGTTTATTTTAGATATTTGATTTTATCATTGGGTGGATACGCTATAACTCAGATGAACGTAATGACTTGTTACCGGTTCTTATGAAATATTTACGTTTGCCTTTAATTTCAAAAGAAGGACTACAAAGGATTTATAAAGAACCATTAGTGAGAAATAATAATGATGGTAAGTACATATTGTTGATATTCCAATCGGGTCAACATTCAATCTAAATTGTGCCATTTATTTATACATACAATAGCGCCTATAGGTGAAATATATTATTGATGTCTCTTTTAAATAAATATTATTATTGTTATGCTTTTTTAGTTTTGAGAGGCATATTAGAAAATATTATTACTCACGACTGTTTAAAACCATCGTATACTCAAGGAAGATGTACTCAAAGTGAATCATCAAATGTATGTAGACATTTTAAAACTAAATTTTTACATTGTATAGGTACACAATAGTTGTACTAGTTATGTGCTTGTATCACCTGACATTTGTATATTTGTGTATTCAGATTATTTTTGCAATCACTGGTGATTCAAACAGTGGTGGTTCCAGTGTAAAGTATATGGATATTAGAAACGATAATGACTTAAAATGGAAACCAAGCGATCATTTATTTTTATTGCCTCCTCGTAAAGACTCAAAGATGGTAGTCTCTGAAAATGGGATAATACTTGCCATTGGTGGTAGAAATAAGTCTAATAATGTAGTCAATCTTGTAGACGAGCTTGATCTTAAGTCAAAATCAAAACAATGGGTTTCCACAAGGCCATTGAAACAACCACGATCAAGTTTTGCTGTTTGTACATACAAACAGTACATATATGTCGTATGTATTAGTTTTATTGTAGTTAACATAACGAATACATGTTGTATACAAGAAAAAATTTTTTTTTTTTTTTATGACATAGGTTGGAGGCTCTGATTTATTATTTAGTAATCGTTTGAATTCTGTAGAATACTATGATACAAATTCAAAAGTATGGACAGAAATTACTGAACCAATGCCCACTGCACGATCCTCGTGCAGTGCTGCAGTATTTAATAATAAATTATATGTAGTAAGTAAACACAATTTAACCATAAATACCATGCCCAACTACTAAACAAGTTTCTAATTATATTTTTATTACAAAATGATTATAAACTTTTCATTTAACAAGCTATTATTGTTTGTAAGCATTTTAATCAAGTTTCATTGTTTTGTGTAGTTTGGCGGATTTAATGGTATCCCTCTTGCAACTGTAGAGTACTATGATTTTGAAAAGACACACTGGAAACAACTCGATCCTATGCCGATACAAAATTATTACATGAATATATCAAAAATAGATAACGTCGTTTATCTCATTGGTGGTGATTATGCACCTCGACGAGTTTTTAAATTCGATTTACAACATTTCAAATGGGATGAAATGCCTAACATAAACATGGATTGTAAGGATGTGCTCAAGTCTGTATATATTTAATCAAATATATAATACTTATTTTTACTCATAAATATTATAAAATGCAGGTGTTGTTATCATGAAAAACGACTTATTTGTGTTTGTGAATCATCAAGGAAAACTTCATTGTGAAAGATATGACAGAGGAAAAAATCAGTGGCAATTGATTGACAGGGCAAGAGAAGGGTCATCATCCCTAACAAGTCATATCATTACTTTCAATCATATTACTCTTGAATCCCATGGTATTCAGTTATAGAAATATTTTTTTTAATAATACCTTTTTGTGATTTCAATTTAGTCTTAAAATTATTTACACATTTTGTTGTTGATGATTTATTTGTATTTATTGCCCTGATTGTCAGGCCAAAAGAGATATGAAACGTTTTTGTTATAATATTGCTTTTAATGATGTTACTCTGATATCATATTATGGTATTCACTTATAATATTACTTTTTATTAATTAAATCCTGTGAGTAAAAATTGGTTGTACAATTATTCATTTTTTGGACTTTAATTTCGATCACAAACTATGTATTATTTATGTAACGTTAGAGATTGCAAAATGTTGGAACAGGTTGTGGGAAATCCCTGGGTTAGCGCCTGCTGTGTGGTACCTCTAATTTATTATTAAGTTTTAATTATAAATTAACTAGAAAATACAAAGAAAGCTATACTTTTTATCATATTATAATAAATACAATTTGTGCAATTATAGTCTACAAGTAAATTATATCCGTCGACAAAAGCCTCAATTTGTTATTATATCTTGAATACATTTATTAGAACTATAATGATATGATAAAGGTAATGTTTTTTTTGTGTTCAAGCCCGAAATAACCTATATTTTGTCTAAAATACATCTATATACAATATATAACATGATACTTACATTTTTTATTGTTATTCAATGTAATTAATGATTTTATAACTTATGGCATTTAACGTCGGAGTTTATAACATAAGAAAAGTTTATACGGAATAACGTAAAATCTATCCGCAAATTAGATATCAACCGTTTTATCCATTTTTGGTTTGATTTCAGATTACTTTTTAAAGATAGTAAATACTAATAAAATCTTGTTGTTTTAGGAATAGTCGTTTTATTTGTAGACCTACAACCGCGCATTTGTACAGTGATTATTTTAAGGCTTAATCATAAAATCTGGTTTTTCTAAACAAAATCTATTCAGACAAAAGTTTAAGATAATTACAGCATGAATAATATGTCATTGCTATTTTAACTCTAATATTATTTGGTAACATTACAAAAAAAAAAAAATTAAATTTATACCATCTACAAAATTGCACAAAACTGTAATATATTAAAAATTATAAAAAAGGATACTATTTGGGTTATTTATACTATTTCTGATCTCGAAGACTCGCTACACGTTTTAGAAGATATCACCAGAACATTATTGTAGATCAACCAACAAGTCCATAGTGTAAATACTAAGGAAATATATATTATGTACTTGATTAGCTAATACAACCGAATGATCACAACGGTTTTTTACATATTAAGTCTTGTCAAAAATAAATTTAAATACGATATTTAAATTATTTTCTCAGCGGAGCTTATACAAAATTAAATCTTAAGTTACTTTTTGACCCCATCTCAGTCTGGGAGACCATATGATAAAAAAAAAAAGGTTAATTTATTGTTTATATGTCTGGAATAGTTTTTTTTAATTGGTTGAGAATCCAATAGTTTTAGTACTCTTAGGTTTTCCACTAATCTTTTTGAAAGTTACTCAATAGCATTCTATATGCGTCTATCCGTCCCTAAAAACGTGTTAGATCTTCAAAATGAAAATACCATGTGGGTTTACAATTCACTGCTTCTTCAGTAGTCAAATACTTCAAGCATTTTATACCGCGAGACCACAATAATGGTATTTTATCCACCAAACTCTTGGCACCTGTTTCTCCAGTATTATTTATAATCACCGAGTCCTGGGTCGCCTGTGCCGTTTTGTCGGTTTCTTAGAAGGAAAAAAAACCAACCGTCGAGTGGTACAAGCGATTACAAGGAAAATGATATACGACTAAATGCATTGAATAATTTTCTAAAGGAGCAAATAAATTAAATAGAAGATGCGTGGGAATCATTTCAACGTTTGGTCGCATAAAGGGACGAAAAATTCGTTTGGGGGTGTAGACCTTAATATATTATTCGGTACCTAGCCAACGTGAGTCAGGAAAGATATGTACATCAACAATACATCATCACATTTATATACATATTTGGTGAGGTATAAAAGATGTTATGGTCAAAATCTTCAAAAATTATTATGAAGTACCGACCAACGCATATTTGTTATTATTTTCGAACATGTCACATCTAACATAATATCATATTTTATTATAACAATGTAATTATATGCAGGAGCTAAAACTGTGTAGATAACCTATTTTTTTGCAGGTAGGTAAATGTCCGACTATATTGTGATACTTATGAATCATGCCATAAAATGTTTACATAAAAAAAAAAATGGACCAATTTGTCAAGGTTTCTTATAATATTATCATCTGATAAATGGCAAGGACTCGTGTGCTTAATAATGAGGTGAAAAAAACATCATCTTATGAACGAATAACTGGCAGATAACATTGTAGTATGAAGATCGTTTGTGTTCACAACGCAAAAAGTAAACATAACAAAAAATAACATAATGACGAAATCGTTATTGTTTTTGGGAGATTGCAAAAATTAGTTTTTTGATGAATAAAGAAATAAAATGCTTGGCAGGTTTTGTTACACGTGCTGATTAGATTGGTGTGGGCAAAATGTTTGCAAAAATTTTAACATTTGTTTATTATCACATTAAAGGTAACAAAAAAAAAAACCTTTGTCAATTACACGTTATAAACAAGTCAAATATTTACTTTGTTTAAACAACTTTAGAAATACTATAAATCACAACTCGTATCATAAATTATAGTATGTTTACCTAAACTGTACTTACTTATTTTTAAATTTAAATTTTTCAAAAACAAAATTCCATCACATAAAATATATTACTTATATGCTTACTAATAGCACGACGAAGAACCTAACCAATTCAGTATTTCAATAAGTATTTGAAATAATATATTTTGTAATTGGTTTCCAAAAAAAAGTATTTTTATTTCAATACTTTTTATAATTTAAAAATTACCCCTAAACCCTTGCAAAAATGAGTCCAATAAATTTGTCCATTAAGAATTTTTTTTTTTTAATAAAATATAGGTACTTTTTTTTAGATTAATATTAATCACTCCTGTCGATCCCAATCAGTATATGATAACCTCTAAGAAATCAGACACCATTACGTGGAACGTTAAACCAAGTTTCTATACACAAATAAATTGGCGCTGTTACATATTATGACGTATAACCGAACGGTCCTTTACAAACAAAATTTCACTAATAAGTTGTGAGAATTAAATTTTCTAATTTTATATAATGGTCTTGCCGTGAAGGGTATAAGCAACGACGGCCGGATCCATGGCCGTGGGCAGACTTAATATTACAGAAGTCCAAAACCTGTCGGTCGGCGTTTCCCTTGTAGTCCCCTAAAGGCACCTCGAGGTAATATTTTTTTTTTACCACTAGCTGTTGCCGGATAAATTAAACATTTTTAACAATACTATAACCTTATATGGAGATTTTTAAAATTGTGTTTTTTTTTAAATAACAGTGTAGGAGCAGTATCACAAAGATAAATTTTATATTAATTATATACATTTAATTGAACCAGAGCAATACCGAAGCTAGTAAATACTAAATAGCAAGTCACTTACCAAGCTGAACAAGACCTCGGCAAACACTCGCCCAACACATCTGAAATAATAGCACTTTTTAAATCAATGTTCACAGTTTTGAATGTCTATAATATTATCTACACACCTAATTTACAATATGGTCACGATCGAAGATTATTAGATCTGTCAATTAATTGATAATTAGAACTGTTATGGTATCATCAACTCGTGTTATCGTTTCTCACGAAATCACCGTTAATTCTTCAAATTTTAACCGTAAAGAAGTAAACATTTTCAACTTTTACCCCCCTCCCCCCCCATGTACCAACTAGATGAAATTTGCGATTTATAGGAGTCGCTACTCGAAGGAATTGGTCCAGTATTAAAAAAAGTCACAGGGTATACGGACACAAAATAAACCCCCATGATAGTAAAACCAAAAATATGTATACCACAGATTTTCAAGGAAAATGTTCATGCTATAACGGGCTACAGCCCCACTCTAGTGGTACCTTAAGGTCCAATTGTTTCGGACCTTGAGAAAACTTAAACTAGGTACCTTTTTTTTTTTCACATGCACCCATAGAATACTGGGGGGGGGGGACGCGCCCTGTGAGGAATTACTTCCCCCCAAACTAGGTACCTTTAAAAAAAAAAAAAGATTCCACCACTTCCAGGCCGTTTGATGTTTTTTTTTTTGTTTTTTCAAATGTTGTACATCGATATTGCGCTATTCTATATTATGTAATTTGTAGACTAATATTGTGCATTTTTTTTAAAAAGATGTGACCTATTCGAAAGTTCGGCTCGGCTCAAGTTCAGCGCATTTCACGGACGGCGCACGTCGGCGATATTATATTGTTATTTCAAATGTTGATGACTCTAGCCGATCACGAGAGCTGTAGGTACCTCTCGGATGTAGGTAGGCGATAGAGGAGTGGAATGGGTTGGACCGGGGGGGGGGGAGGGAAGTGCACGAGTATTTCCCGTGAGTCTATCACAGCACGCACGTCAGTCCGGTGTGTATCGTTCGATTGGCCGCACGACCGCAACCTGTTGACGCGCGCACCTGTTGCATCCTACACGCGTATCGCCTACCTGTTGCGCACATGGCCCAGTATACGGTGCACAGTTTGTTACCGCGCGCCCGGTAGACCGCACGCGCTCGTCGTCCGGGGTCGGTTAAAAAATTAAACGTTTAATTTTTTTAGTTTTTTTCGTTCGGTCCGCTCGGGGATCATGGTCGAGGAGACGGACGCGAATTATTATTACACGTGCACGTGTGATTTTTGAAAAAAAAAACAGTCAACCGTTTTCGCGTCAACCGCAGACGAGACCGTCAGTTATTAACGTCGGCGTTGTCGCTTGTCGCCACCATGTCGGCCGCGGCGGAGAGCAAAATCAGAAACATCAACAACAACGTGGTGGAAACCGACCGGAAATGGAGCCCGAAGGTCCACACGAAAATTTACATTCCGCCCATTCGGATCGTGGAAAACGAAGAAACCGTCACCGGTCAGGCCGCCAGAGGTAATAAGAATACCATACGAATCTTTCCCCCCCCCTCCTCCCCCCAGAGATTTTCTCATCCCGTCCGAGAAAATTTTGCCGACGTCAGTCTGCAAAGTCAGAAAACATGCCTAACATATTATTTAGACTATAGTATTAACTAGTTTTAATTAAACCTTAAATTTTACCTTATATAATTTTAATCTAAATTCGAACGCTTGACCTCGGTTTTAATACAAACACAGTTCGTCAGTCCTTGCAGCAAATTTCTGTCTTTATAATAATTAGATGGAAATATAACAAAAGAGAACATAACCATGATAATATGTTTCCATTCAATATGTATACTATACTCTTACCTATGTATGTACCCAACGCTATAGTGTTCCTCGAGGGGATTCGGTTGTTGCATATTACAAAACTATCACAAGCAAATAATTACAATTACCATCCTCAACTATCGTTCGTATAGCTATTATTTTACTATTTTAATGCGGTTCCGGTTAGGTTAGTGACGATTTTTTTTCTTCAAAAACCAGTTTTACAATCACAGATTATTCGTCAACCGTGTGTTTTCCTATCCGTACTTGTATGGCAGATTTTCTAAAAAATTTAAAGGAGATACTAGACAACGACTTATAAACATCACATACAAATTTGTATGCGTGACCTGTTGTTATGGACAATCTATCTTCATTTTCATCTTTGACCCGCCAAAAATTAACGTTCCCTTCCATGTTGGCCCTTTCGACCACTTGCTCGATGAATCCTCTTATTGCATCCCACTTTCGTACTCCCTTTAAGTGTTATTAAACGGTTTATACTTTGGCTTAGGGGCGGCGTTCGACGAATCAGTCAAGCTGAAAGAATACAGCAGTGGTAGTGAAAGCAGTGAAGGTCGTCAGCCATTCCGACACGGCAGCTATCGGCTACAACCCGTGATGGCACCCCGAGCCCTCTCGCCCAGTCTGAGATCCCTGAAGGCGCCTGCTGTCGTTACAACCATGACCGGGTCGGTCAGCCTGAATTCCACGTGCATTCCCAGCGACCTGTCACCTCTGCGACCCACGCCCAATAACATGTCCGTCCGTTCGCTGGCATCCATCGGCATGGGCTCTACGGACGGACGGAAGCTGACCATAACCAAGGTACCGACATCGCCGGCCGAACTGCTCAACTTGGCCAACCCGCAGAGGTAAATAACGACGATCTTAAATTACAAAATTGGGTGGCTTGGCTTCATGTGGAGTTGGCAGCGTCATCGCGACCACCTAGCCAGAAGGCTGGGTTATTAAGGGCAGGAGAGACGAGGGAAGGGAAGGAAAAGTGAGGATAAACGGAAGTAAGATAGAGGGAGAGGTGAGTTTAGTGCAGGAGTAGGATATTCCCACGCGGAAAAGCATATAGCATTGTCTTCTGAACCCAAAAACATGATTCTATATTTTCCAGTCGAAACGACCAATAAGAACAATACAATTCGTTCTTTTCTCTGTCACGTTGTCCCATAAGGAATTGGCTCGACCAGGAAAATCCTCTCTCTTCGCGCATCTCCATGTCTTGATCTACCTTTACCGCTACACTCGCCTCTCCTCGTTCTACGCTCATTCCTAATTATATTCCATCTATTATCTCTCATCTCAATTATTGTCGTTTTTCTTTCGCTTCTTCAATACTGCGCATCGTGCTAAATGGTCGCATAACTCTGCTAAACAGTGCTGTGGAAATGGCAACTCCATTGGGCTGGTCAAAGCGACATAAACTTTCGGTATTTCGTAACCATCGTGGCGGAATAACAATTTGTTCATACGTGCAACAGCGGTTAAGCATAATCGAGCTTGCCCGAGGAGCTATTTTGTCCGTACCTACTCGTTTTGTTCACCGACTAGTTCTTTAAAAAGCAAACAGTCAATTTTGCAACACTATAATAATACATAATAAGTAGGTACCTACTTTTACACAAGTGTCGCGTGCATATCTGTTTTTGCGTGCAAACTAATTTGCTAATGGAATAGCCGCGAGCTGGCAGCGTTGAAAACATTTTTATTATTATTACATACATTATCTTAACTGCCGAGTCCGACGTTTGCTATTCTATTTAAATCATAGCTGTTTTATTCTTGATCGTCATAATAATAATAATAATAATAATATATTCTAGACTACTATTCTACTAAACGGTTAGAATACAGCCTAGAGTTTCTGAGCAATTCAATAAAATAAACATTATAATTATTATTACTACACCTACTTGTGATTAATAATAATTACCTAAGGAAAACCTTCCTGGAGGTGTGTTTTTTTTTATTTTGAAATATATTTTATACTGACTATTACCGTTGACTTCAAATTCAAATCCACCGCACCCGTTGCGAATACCACTCTGCTCGTGACGATACTACAATGTCGCTGACATTGTAAGTGCCATTAATATTAGCACTAGTACGTCGATTCTTGTATAACTGAAACAAATGCGATTTCCGACAGCTGTATATAATATAATAGCTTGCATAAAAGAATTTATTCTATACTAACAAGTGATAATTTATAAATATATCATTACCGTGACGTTTCGATTGGTCAATCGCACATATGCACTCAATCTTAATAGTATACTCAAAAAAAGAAAGACCGGACAGGATAGTTATATTTATAAAGGAATGTTGGTTGGAAATGGCCAAGTAATCTTTTGGTATTTGACGCCGCAATGTAATATTTTTTAATCGAAACGAATTGGCGATTTTGTGAATAAATGTTTTTACTTTAAAACCCATTAGAAAACACATCATAATAATTATATTCAAACGGCCATGGTCGGTTTCCACTAACTATTCATTTTTTTACTTAATATCGTGTTAAATTTTACTAAACACACACTCTCTCTCTCTCTTTTTCTACTCCTCTTTTCTCCTTTTCTTAACGATAGGTACGACTTGTGAATTTTAACGAGTAATGGCGGTCATCAATATTATAATTTAACTATAATACTTTGTCATTGATTGAAAAACATACCGGTAAAAACCCAAATGCGAAACGGGTTACGCCCAAGAGAAGACAAGTGTTTCATTCATGTTGGTCATAAAAGACACATCACCTGTGATTTATAACACCATTACAAAATGGTTAAACGACAACTAGAACTAAACAAATCTGTTGTACTGTAGTGCACTTTAAACCCAAACGTCATATCACATTAACTCAAAGTCTCTCGTATAAACGGTAAAAAAAAAAAACAAATAGATAATGTAATGATATTCTAATAAAAAACTAATTGAACATTGTGTATTTTTATCAAATGTATACAAAAAATGTTTAATATCTATCAAAAGTCAGTTACCCATACTCGATGAGGCTTTTGTACTTACCTAATACCTAACTGGCAACTAACTTGCTACTTTTTTGGCAGCAAACGACAAAAAAAATATGATATTTCATTAATGATTTTTTTTTTTTTTAAAAAAGGTGCGAAATTTATTTTACAGTTGTTAATTACTCTGGTTGTAATTTGTTCATATTTTTATAAAACATTAGTGTCCATACGACATTGCCAAGTATATAATATTGTTATCTATAAGCGGTAAGTGGATTTTACCAACACGACATAATATATGATAATATTAAAAAACACATCAACGATAAAAAAAATCATATGAATAGCGGCTTACGCTGGCGCTATTGTTAATTTGGTAATATTCTTAATAGACATTTTGTAATGGATCACTCTGTATATGTTTTGTAAAAAACTCTAAGGTTTGAATGAACACACGAGGGATGAGGTTGTATTGATGAAAAGTATAACAAATAGGGCCTGACTAATAACTAGAAATGTATGAAAAGAATAATTTTAAAAAGTCTTATGTCTTATACTTGTTGATTGCGAGTCATAGACCAACCACCTTAAATTGTATAGCTTCGATAAGGAGCTGAGAAAATATTGTAGAAAATTACTATAAAGTGTTACACTTTATGGATATTAACTGAGTGGTACTTAACTAATCACCATAATTTTTTTTAAAATTTTATTTTGGAAAAAAATCAACGTGCACGAAAATAATAAAAAAAAAAAAATACAAATTCTAGTTGTTTAAATGTAATGTGTCGTTTCTTAACAACCGGAACCGGACCAACTTGTCGGTTTATTTTCAAACAAAATAAAAACTATATATCCGTTTGGTTTCTCTCCTTAAAAAAAAAGTCAACATTTTTTTTTTACACATTATATGTATACGATAATATAGTTGATCGATTAAAACGTTGCCGTTTAGGCACATAGTTCTGGAAACGCAAATTAAGATATAATTCAGCCGGTTTCACCAACTATTGTTAGTTGGGTTACCAAAGCGGTTACCTCGATTCCAACGTTCTCATTGGTTATTAAGATATGTGATAACTGATAAGTGATTGTATTATATTTTAATTTGTCAGTTTGTTATTATTTAACATTTTATTTTACTTCTTTTAACGATTCGGTTTATATAAATAATTTATTCATAGTTTTTTAACAAATTGTTTAAATATAGTCTATACCTTTTTAAAAATAGTTTGTCATCAAGTTCAGTAAAATAATTTTTTTCTATTTTGAAGGCCTAAAAAAAGGTAGGTAGTGATAAGAATTATTTCCATTGTTATACTCAGTCAGGACAGGCAAGACATAATAATATTATCTCAATTATAAAATACAATAAATTATGATAATATTTGAAGCTATAATGCAAGTCTGTGTCATACCATTGTACCTAATCTACCTACAGAAAATAACTTCTGCTTACCTTATAAAGGGTTATCGAAGTTGTCATTGCTACAGTTCTCTAAATACTCAACATAAAGAAGGTCCTCATCAAATATGTAATTCATTATTATGAAACTCAATTATCATTAATCTGTTGTTAAATATAATTAACAACAGATTAATATCTTAACAAATGTTGGTGAAACCGGCTGAATAGGTAATATTTAACGAGAATCGTGTCGTTGTATTAGGAAGGCGTGTCTAAACCTTTGTAAGGATTTCGAATCGATTTTATATTTATTTCACTAAAACGAAAATGGTCGCCTTGAACTTGTGCGCGTACAATTATTATTATTACAATATTAATTCAACCGCAAAACGGACTTGACCACAGCAAGTGTACCGTATCGTTTTTTCGAAAAACGGATGCGCCAAGTTGTTATTATCCCGACCTGGGGACACGCCAAGGTTAGAAATTGTATTATGAAAAATTAATAATAATAATAATAACCCGAACGAGCTCGTTATGGTCCGCAACAATAATTACTATAATATTACAATGTACTTAAACTATAGGAGGGTCGCAATAAGTAAAATATTATGAAGTAAGCGAAACTGCGAGCTACAGATCCAAAGGATCCTTGGGATCCAATAGGTTCTACATGGGTTTTTTGTAAAATTCACTTTTTCGTTTTTTAGGCTATGAATTTTACCGCGCTTTTTCTTATAGCTAGTAAAGAGTTCGAAGGAGCTGGTCAGTACACAAAAATTCTATACACATAACATTATGGCAAATCTTAGATAGAACTTTAAATTATTTATTTAGTTTTAGAAGAAAAAGTTTTATGTGTATTAAAAAAAGAAAAAATTCAATTAGGTGGTATTATTAAATAAAATGATTTGATTAATTTCATGGAGTCAACATACATTTTTTTGTATGTTAGGTTGGTATTACTAGAGTAGAAAAAGTTCTTTGTGGTATAATATATTTTTTTTACATAAAAGATTCTAATATTTTGATTTTTAGTTTTTGTGCCAAAAAAGATTCTGCCTCTAGAACTATCTGATATTTTACATCCAAATCAATAAGTTGGAAAACATTCGAATGCACTTAAATTAGATCTGCTGAAAAATTGCATATTCGCCTGTCGCAGTGTCGCCTGAAAAAACGGAAAAAGGGTAATTATCTTCATACTGCCTACACTGATGCTCCCGCATCTATCCCCTATAAGAACCCATGTAATTCTTGAAAAGTGTCTTTTCTGGTTATTCTGTTGTACTCTCACATTATCATATGGAATTAAAGTGTTTCTATTTATCTGTATAACTGCGTTAAGGGCGATACTGTGCAGTGTTGAACAACTTGTAAAAGAAAGAATTTATTTTTATTTAAAGTGGTCATACTGTCACTCGCCCTCTTGATTACTTCGTTGCCGAGTACAAGGCATTAAATGTCACAGCTCTATATA